CTTCCCGGTGTGCCCAGAAAGCGGGTCACCTGCTGGGTAGTGGAGCCCAAGGGCCTATGAGAGAGGAACCATTCTTCCAGGCTTGCTCTGCCAGTGACTGATGGGCTAGGTGTGAACTTGAACAAGTCACTCTTTGTGAATTGGGTTTTAGAATTTTATAGATGTTTGAAAATACTTTTTATTCTTATCAGTAATATATTTCCATTCATGACAAGTTAGAGAACACAAGCAAAAATAAAAATAAATCAAAATTACTTATAATCAAGTGAGGTCAAGTGTAATTGTTTTTTTGGTTTGTGTTTTTTTTCTACGTTTGTCATCATTTTTCACATAAATAAGAAGCAGGAAGGAAAATGATTTCCCATAATCCTACTGTTCACTGATAACCCCATTTAATCATTTGATATCCTGTGTGTGGATACATTCATTTTAAACAGTGATAAGAACATACTTTAAATATTGTTTTTCAACCAATTTTCAGCACTTAATTTAGCCTGGAGATCTCTCTGTGTCAATCGATATAGATTTACTTCATTTAAATGTTGGCATAATATTTTGTAAGAAATACTATTATTTATTCACTAATCTCTCTTGATAGATACTTGGGTTGTATCCTGTTTTCACTGTCATAAGCAGTACGAGGGTCAACATCCGTGGAGTTAAATCTCCAGTCATACCTTCAATGATTTCCTTAAGCAAGAAGTCCTAGAAGTAAAATTGCTGCATATTTGAGTGTCCATATTTTTAAGGCTTTCTAAAAAAATTGTCAGGTGTCCTTGTAAACATTGCACCTCACCTCATTAGCACCTGTTAGCACCTCATGGGAGCACCTGTTCCCCATTGCCCTCATCAACTCTGACAATTAGAGTCCTTTAACAATTTTAGGGGAATTGTTAAGGCTCAAGAGGGAAGAAATATTTGATGCAAGCCCCTCACAGCACAGATAAGAATGACAGAGTCCAGGAAATGAAATGACTTTGCCAAGGGCAACAGAGTGGCACAGTTCAGAATAACCTAGCGGTTGGGTCTCTTGACTCCCACACCAGCGCTCTTTACCCAGTGGTCTCTGCACGCTTATTCCTGACCTTAAACTCAAGTGTTTATTCAACAGGTATTTACTGAGCCCTTGCACGTGTCAGGCAGGTACCGTGCTGGCCACTGGGTGTGCTCTGCTGAGCAAAGGTTAGACCTTGTCCTCAAGGAGCACACAGGAGGACACAGAAAAGCAAGCCAATAGTACCTCAAGAATTTTGCGCAGGGGCCGGCCGAGTGGTGCATTGATTAAGAGTTGGCTTGGGCTGTCAACTCTGAGCAGCAGGGTCCCGGTTTGGATCCCACATGAGGGCCAGTGATGCTGCGCCCTGTACAGCTAAGATGGTGAAAAACAGCTCCACCTGGAGCTGGGCTGCCATGAGTCACCGGCGAAAGCGTAGGCTGCAGTAGAGCTGCAGTGGGCTGCCGTGAGCTACCGTGAGTGGCCGGCAGCCGCCATGGGCCACTGAAGCAGCGTCCTCCACAACTAGACTGAAGAACAAAAGGACAGCAACTTGTCTGTTCCCCTTCTCTGATTCCCCAACACTGTTCCCCTCTCCCAATTCCCCAATAAAATCTTTAAAAAATAATAATAATAATTTTGTGCAGGGTTCTTTGGGAGCATCAAGGAACAGCACTTGGACCACCTGGGGGGACCTAGGAAGGTGTTCTTGAGCAGTTGGTCCTTGAGACTACCTTGGATGTTTAGAAGTTGACCAAGTGGACGCAGGGAGGAAGAGCAATCTGGCTCCAGGAAATGACACAACAAAGGCCTTGACACAAGTGGGCTTCGTTCAGACCTGTTCCACCATGGGCGAGGGTAGGGCAGGAGGGGGCTGGTGAGGCAGGCAGAGGCCCGGGAACCATCACTCTCTGACCTCTGAGAAGTTCTTGTCCTGAAGGCTTCAGGGAGCCGTAAAGGCTGTGCAGTGCATGATCAGAGTTATATTTTAGGAGGTCACTCGGGCAGTGGAGTGGAGGGTGCACGGGGCACGGGTGGAGGGGTGGGGTGTGGGAGGACAGGCCCAGAGGCTTAGCTCTGGGCAAGGGGCATCACAGTAATTCAGGGACCTCCAGGGGCCACTCTGCTTTCTCACGGGTGGGGATGAGGTAATGAATGTTTGAAAAACTAAAGCCTTTTCAAACAACGATGTGAAAATGCCCTTTGCTCTCTACCCAGGTAGCAGTGGGAGAATTCTCAAGGTGTGTGTAACCCTAAACCACCTGCCTTTGGCTCAGCGCTGAGGCTCTGGGCCTGCATTTGTGGCCCAGGCGTATTTAAGGCTCAAAGGGCTTCTCAACATAAAGAGTAACCAGAAGGAGGATATGTCTGCCTGAGGAGAGATTCCAAACAAGCCTTGTCCCTTAAGTTACCCATCCTGGGGGTGGCCTCTGGAGGGCACTACTAGAACTGCTACATCTCAAGACTATAGTCCTTGGAGGGTATCCCCCTACACCCACACACAAACCTCCCACCCCTAGGGTGAAGTCCAACTGCCTGTGGGATAACGGGCCCTCTCCGTTGCTGCTTGCAAAACAGTTTGTTCTTTCTTAATGCTGTTTGGGGAGCAATTCAGTTGGAATTACAGTCAGATTTCCTGTGTGTGTGTTTGGAGAGAAGGAGGAGGCTATGGAACCTGAGGACGGGACAGGGGTCAATGACTCCTCAGACACACCAATTGCACTAAGCCCAAAGACCTTGTTTTCTGTCTCTCTTTCAAATTTTAAAAATTAATTTTGAATTATACAGGTAATTCCCGGAGATACTTTAAATAAAATTAAAATATCGCAGATTCAGGTTAAAGCTCTCTTTAGACTAGGTTATTGCACCATCCCCAATTCTAGTCCCCTTCCTCCACGCCTTAGGCATAAACACTGTGGTCGTTTATGTGTTTGTTCTTCCAAAACTTTTTTTTTTTTTTTAAGATTTTTATTGGGGGAAGGGGAACAGGGGAACAGACAAGTTGCTGTCGTTTTTGTTCTTCAGTCTAGTTGTGGAGGACGTTGCTTCACTGGCCCAAGTTGGCACCATCATTGAGCTCTTCCCAGGAGAGGCAGATCATTTGCTGGCTTCTGGACGGCTGCTCACTGTGGCTGCTGGCCGCTCACGCTGGCTGCTGGCTACATACGGTAGCCCATGGCAACCCACTGCAGCAGGGGCTGCAGCCTCGCTGTCGCCGGTGACCCACGGCAGCGACACGGCAGCCCAGCTCCAGGTTGAGCTGTTGTTCAGCATCTTAGCTATAGAGAGCAGTGTCACTGGCCCTCATATGTGGGATCCAAACCGGGGCCCTCTGGTGTCCCAAGCCAGCTCTTAATCAACACGCCACTCAGTCGACCCTGTTCTTCCAAAACTTTCACTTTACATCTTTATGCATCTTTTATGCATCTAGTATTGCAGGGAAGTTCTGTTACGAGTAGACTTCTTGTTCCTGAAATATGGATATTAACCTGTGTCAGGCAAAGCAGAATTAACATGGGCTGCAGAATCCTTCAGCCAAACCTGACCGTGGAAATGTCACAGAATTGAGACACAGCAGTGAAGTTTTTGGAGAGCAGAAAATAAGGAGAGTTGTGGGGAACCCCCAGGGAGACAGAAGGAGCCTGGGACTTGGTGAGGGGAATATAGACTAGAGGGGAGGAGGGCAGGGCCAGATGTCTCCAGCAGGGGGTGGGCTAGGCAGAGCTTTCCAGTTGTGCCCATCCCTTTACACCACGTTGCCCTCATCAGTTCAGTGCCTGTCCTGCAGCGACTGCAAGGCAGGAAAACAGCCTCTCGAGGCCAGCAGACATTTGAGGAGAGGATGTTACACAGTGGTGCTGGACCCTGGCCAGGTTAGGGAGTGGAAACAACAGGCCCTGTCCTCTGCCTTGAGGACAAAGGTTCAGAAATTGGAACTTAAAGGAACAGTACCATTTACAATAGCATCAAAAATGTTAAATAATTAGGGACTCATCTCACATAAGATGTGCAAGATCTGTACTGAAAACTACAAATCATTGCTGAGAGACACTAAAGACCTAAATAAATGGAGAGACATGCTTTGTTCATAGGTCGGAAGACTCAACGTTGCTCAAATGTCAATTCTTTCCAAATTGATCTGTTTGCTGAACCTTGCGTCTTTGCCTTAGTAGCTGAGAGCCCCTGCAAGGCAGCGGGTGGGTGCTGCTGCTGACTTGGCAGGTTTCAGTAAGAGATGAAGGGGCACGCAATGTGCTGCACTTTGGTGGCTTCTCACCTGGGCAGTGATGCTTCTCATTGCTGCCAGCTGTTGCCAGCCACCTAAAGTGCCACCTGGGCTCTCATCCAAGCTGCCACTTCCTCTGTTCTCATCTAAAAGCAGACATCCTCACCTTTGCCCCTTGGCCCGTGGGGAGGAGAACACGCCAGGGTCAACGGACCTGGTTGCTCCCCACATGGAACCCCCAGCTCACCATGCAGCCAGCACCCCCTGGGGTCTCTTCTGCTGATGGTGCCACCTCTAGGCCTGGGGTAATGTGCAGAACTCCCCCGTCACCCTGCTTGGAGGGTTCTGAGTATGTTCTCCCATCTGTTTCTGTCTTTTCTGGAATCCTGCCATTTCTAATCTACTAAGATTTCCCCTCACCCCTTCTTGCTTCCAAGCGGAACTACACATGGTGTTTGGTTGTTCTTACATCTATTATTTCCGTGAATTTGGTAGAGGGGAATCAAGGTTGCAGGACGTGCCTTCTCTCTTCCTATTTCCCCTGTCCTCTTGTCCAAGTCTCTTTCTCCCTCCAGGACCCAGCCCCAACTCCAAACACCTGGCCCTGCGACCAGGGACTCAGGGAGCTGCCAAACCTTCTGCTCAAGAGCTGCTGGAGCTTCTTGCCATTCATTAGTTTCGCCCCAGTTGCCCTGGAATGTAACTTCTGGGTTCTCAGGTCAAGTCAAAAGCCCAGTGTGACCCTCCCCTTGAGTCCTTCGCCCCAGATAGAGCCCAGCATGGGTTTTGTGAAAATAGACTTTATTATAATAAAATGTCTTTTTAAACAAATGCCCCCACCATTCCTCACCCCTGGAGACCAAGGTGGGAGTGGGGGTTCAAACAATCTCCCACCACAGCAAAGGAAACATGCAGACACTCATCCAGCAGGAGGGTGGGGATGGGTGGTTAGGGTAAGGGTGGAGAGCCCCTACCCTACTCTGAACTGGGAATGTATGAAAATAGCTGCATAAATCTCTCCTTTTCCCTGGCCCCGGACTCCGACAGGGGCCAGGGGAAAAGGATGCAAAAGAGAAATTGAATCGGATGATCAAAATAAGGCAAACCCAACTCCTGCTTTCTGCCTGCTGGCGCCCAGGGTCTTTGGGGTTGGGGACACACTGGGGGACCAGAGGCTGGGCTGGCAGGGAGGAGTGGAGCACTCTGGGGGGCAGGGTTAGGCCCGCTTTGGCATGGCCTTTCTCCTTCCTGGGCCTGTGCGGTGGAAGTGAGATGGAGGAAGCCGGACTGAGGCACTGAGTATGTACATATATACATGGCTCCGCCGCCTGCCCCGTAGGGAGGGGACTGAGGACAATCCAGTGCAAACTTTCCTTCAGGGGAGGGAAGACATGATCAAGATAGCCACCAGAGGGAACAGGCCCCTTTCTCCCGCTAGGGTCCTCGGTCCTGGGAGCTGTGAGGGCCAGAGAAGGGACTAGCATAGCGTGGTGAGAAACTAGGCCTCAGTGAGCGGACTAGAAGTCAAGAGCCCCAGGTCCAGTCCTGGCTCTGTGACTGAGGTGCTCAGCCACCTTGGCAGAGTTACTTTCTCTCTGGGGCTCAGTTTCCCCTCCTATAAGAGAAAGGTGCCCATCCAGAGGATTCCTCCTCAAGTACTCATCTAGCTCTGACCTTGACCGAGTCTGATTCCCTTCCAATTGCCACAGTGTTAATTCAGAAGAACAGAAGTCCAGGGCGCTTCCCCATCTCCCCCAAGCCAGGACAGTGATCTGGGGGCATCAGGGGGCCACTTCTTCCTGCAGGATGGGCCACAGCATCATTCCTTCTTCCCAGAGCCCAGTTTCCTGAGGAGCTGCTTCCCCTTGGAGAGATCTCGCACCTTCTCACTTGTACCCTGTGGCCCCTCCAGTTCAATCCTAGGGAAGCCGCCAGGTCCAGAGGCACAGGGCCAGCCTGGGAGCACTGGGGGCGCTTGTATTGAGCTGGCCCAGTCCTGGAATGTGAGAGAAAAAGGACAAAGTCAAGGCCCGGCTCCCTGACCTAACCTGACTCCCTTATCCTACAACCTCAGGTGCCTACAGCCCCCATGTCAGAGCCATGGTCAAGAACCAGAGCCCTACTACCCTGTCACTTCCCCGCACGCTCAGAGCACAGAGAGGCCAATGAGCACAGTGATGCTGAGGGAGCACTGAGCTGGGAGCCCAAAGGGACAAAGACAGAGTGGGTTCTGCTTCTGTTCACTTGGGACCTGGGCAAGCCCCTCCCCTTCTCTAGGTCTTTCTGCAGGATCCTGGGCTGGCAGAACTTGGACTTGATCCTTGGGATGGGTGCCCCAACTTCCCCCATATCATCCCCTCCCATCAAAAGGAGAGCAAGGACCAGGACTGTTTAGAAGGAGCAGGCCCCTCCAGGGAAGGCGGTTCCTGCACCACCTCAGAGACAAGGCGCATGGCCTGCAGCCCAGCAGAGGCGGTGCCCTGGGGCCTCCAGGGAGTGGAGCCAGTGCCCACTCTATGGGGAGGAGATCTTTCTTGAAAGGGAGCTGCTAGGAGCCTGGGGCCAGAGAGTCAGGCATCACTCAGCACTCAGCACTCATCAGCAGTACCCTGGCCCCTCCTTTACATCTCTCCTTGCTGAATCTCCTCCTAGCTCCATTTGCAACCATAGCGGTCCCTCTGCCACAGGCCCACCCAGACACTGTTGTTAGTGGCCTAAGAACAGGGGTTGGGAAAACAGAAGAGCCATCAGAAGGCCTCCCTCAAACCCCCGTATTCCCATATTCTCCACCATGTCCTCCTGTGCCTGGCATAGACCAGTCAGGTCTTGCCAGCCTGCATGTTCCCCACCCGCTCCTCCTTTCTTCAAACCTCCACTTGCCACCAGAGCCTGGCAATCTCCTGGCCAGAGCCAGCCATGGTGCCCAGACCAGAGGCAGGGAGCTAGGTGCCCAGCCTGGAGCCTGCCCTCACCAAGGCCCTGGTGATGTGGCAGGTCCACCAACAGGTCTGCTGGCACCTAGAGGTTAAAGCATCTACTGCCAACCAGCCAGGGATGATGGCTGGCCAGGAGACCCAGGCCCTATCCACTCCCTCCCAGGGCTCCTTCTATAATATCCCAGGAGAGCGGGGTTGCTGCGGAAACAAATGGAGGGGGTCTTTGAACCCCAGAAATGAATGATGTGGGGTTATCGATGGGCTCCAACTGCTCAAACCCCCCTTTTATTCCCCCAGCAGAGGAAATAGTTGGAAGTAAATTCATGCATTTGATCTCCTAACAGGTCATGATGTAGAGGACAAGGGTGGAGATACTATTATTACTGGTGGCATTACAGTGTCATCGTTCTGTCACCAATAATAATCACAATATTATAATACCATAGTCATATAATATCAGAATACACTGATGAGTCATAATACGGATGTCACATAATATTCTATAAGCATGTGCCATAGAATATGAGGAGTCGGATAATATGGGACATTATTTCCTAGGATGACATGTATTCCCTATGACAACGGGCACTGCCCAAAGGCAAGGGGAGGGGGTGATCCTACACCCAAACCTGGCTCATAGCAAAACCTCCCTCCCCCATTCCCTGGAAGAAAGTGGGAAAACCAGGTCAGCTCTGGCGTGCTGTCTGATTATGGTGACATGGAGGGTGGAGGGTCACATGGACATCGGGGCTAGTCCCCCACTTACATGTTGCTCTCTCTACATATATCTGTCTCTATCTAGCACTGGACTCGTTTCCTCCTCGTTCTCTGAAAAACAGGGAACAGGAGAGGAGATGGGTTACGGACAGACCCACGTGCTCTCCGCCCAGTCACCAGGTCGCCGCCGAGTCGCAGGGGCTGGTGCTCCTTTGCATAGCCCGTGCCTTCGGAGCTACTGCAGATGGAAGCCCAGAGTTGCCCGGTTCTGGCCTGGCCTCCTCACCCTCTCCCTGCCCTGTGAAGCTGGAGCTTAATTATACCCCACCCACCCCAAGAAGAGGCGAGCTCTAAGAATGAGAACCCAGGAAGCTGGGCCTTGCTGGTTAACTGGCTTTAAAAGGCTCCCAGGAGACAGGGAGATCCAGCAGGGTGAGAGGTGCCCTGAAACTGGGGCTATGACTGGTTAGAGGTGTGGGAGTCCTAGGGGTCCTTTTCCACAGCTCCCTCGCCTGTGTCAGCCCCAGGGTGTGGGCAGCTGTGTCAGATGGGCTGAGGATCAGGGTTACAGCCATCACCCCTCTGCAGAGAGGGGCACCTACTGGGAGGGAGCTGGCCCTGCCTGGGTGTCCTCTGGCGGTCACTCAGCAGCTCCAGCCTGGACACAATGTTCACTTGGATTATCCACCTCTACGGCCCTCCCACAACCCTGCCCTGGTCCCACCACCACACCAACAGGGTAGAGACCCAACGGCTGTGCCGGGAGGCCAGCTCTTCACTGACCTGACTCTCGGCCTGGGGTGTCCCAGGCTCCCTGTCTGAGCTGCCCAACTCAGGCCCAGGGCCCTCCAGGAAGTTGGATGGAACCAGGCCCCTCTGTCCATTCAGTTCCCCCTGGGGAGGACATGCTGGTGAGACTGAGACCAGCAAAGAGGCCTCAGCCCCATCCCCCTTGACTCCAAAGCCCCTGGGGGAATAGCCCGAGGTCAACAACTCTGTCATGCGAGGTGACCTGTCCATTCCTCCAGGCGTCCATCAGGAACTCTTACTCATCCCCTCCCCAGCTCTGGGAGAGCGCTCTCTCTGAAACAGCTGGTGAAATGGGGTACAGTACCCCCCACCCCAATGTTCTTACATAGTAGAAGCCATCATCATCCATGCCCCCGAACACAGTAATGATGTCCCCTGCTCGGAAGGGCAGCTCTGCCTGTGGAGAAACGGAAACGCAGGTGTCAGGCCCAGGGAGGCCCTGCCACCACCACCCCGCCTTGGCCGGGCTCTATCTGAGGGTTCTCACCTCCACATCCATGTTGGGGGAGCTCTCCTGGGGGTTGTAGTCAAATGCAGCCACCATGGAGCGGGGAGCTCTCAGGTTTGCAGAGGAGACTGGCTTGGGGGGGCCTAGAAGGGGAGGGGAGAAGACTCTGGACTCTCTCTAGATCCCCCACCCCATACTATACTCTGCACTGGAGGCCCGCTGACCCCCTGTTTACGACCTCCCCAACTAGTTGTAGCCCCTGGGGAGAGCTCAGAGGGACCGCCCACCCTACCTCTTTCCCCAGCCTCACCTGCACAGGGCTGGGCAGGACCTTCTGACTCAGCTGCTGAGAGAATGTGTGTGTGATCCCCTCCCCTCACGTGCCTGCTCAGCTCAAGCTAGGGCTGGTGCAGGGCAGGCAGGATGCCAGCCTCACACAAGGGATGCAGGAGAAAGATGCTCAGGGAGCACATGAGCCCAGCCCTTTGATTTGCAGTGAGCTAATGCCCAGAAAGGGTAAGTGACTTATTCTAGGTTGCACAGAATTTACAGTCAGGTGCTTTTTGGAACAGAGGTTCTGGCAAACCACTCCCCGTCCCCATTAAAATAAAGATTTTCCCCCTGAAGGGGATGGATGTAGTGAAGGTCTACCCTTATCCCCTTTACCTGCTCAAAGCCCTACATGTGTCTCCCCCAAAAGCCAAGCAGTGCCCCCCCATCCCCATTCATCCTCACAGGTCCCTGAAGCGGAAGAGGGGATCTCACCCACCTTTCTTGGACCGGCGGGGCTTGGGGGGAGGCCCAGTTGTGCGGGCTGTGGAGTACAGAAAGAGACCATTCCCTGATTCAGGAAGGCAAGTAGACATAAGAGAGAAACTGAGGCAGGAGATAGGACAGTGACTCTGGAGTCTCCTCTTACTCCAGGCGCCAGGGTTCCTGCACTCAGGTTTCTGAAGGACATTCCTCTCCCATCCCCAACACCCAGGATCCAAAATATACATCCCTTCCCCTCTGCAGCAGACCCCACACCATGTGGCAAGCTCACTGCTGTGACCACACTGGCCTCAGACCCTGTGAGGGCCCAGTGGCTCTGCTAGATTCTGGATAAATGAGGCATCCTGCCACTCCAGACTCATAAATTCTCCATCCTCCAGAAGGGAGTTGAATTGGAGCTAGGATGGCAGGATATGGGTGAAGGACAGCAGCAGGTCATACCTGAGCCCTCAACAAGGACATCTGGGGACAAATAACCCCACTGGAGCAGCTGCTGCCTCCCTGCGGGACTGTCCACAGCCACCTCGGCCACCATGTTGCAGGGGATATAGCCCGTCCGGCCCCCACCTTCACCCCGGTAGAAGCCATCAGCATCTTTGTCTCCAAACACCTGGAAGCAAAGACCAGTTGTCTCAGGAAGCCAGTTCAGTTTGTTCCCTGTGCCCCAGGCTCCAAAGCCCCACTGCACCGCACTTGGAACTGCAGAAGAATGTTCTACCTTTGGTGGGCAGTGGAACAAGGAAATAGGGGGAAAGAGCCAGGAATAAGGATCAGAGGGAGGAGAGAAAATAGCTCTTTCTGTATTATCATCACTATCTGCATGTCCGTTCCCCTGGCCCACCCCAGACTAGATCTCCCCAACCTCAGAGCAATAGCAAAAGCCTTCGATAAACACTTGGAAGTGTAATAAAAGTTGTCATGTTAACAGCAGCAGTTATATTGTGTTATGTGCCAGGCAGTTTAAGTACTCTATGGGTACTGTATCATTTAAACCTCAAACAACCCTATGAGGTAGACACTGACATTATCCCCATTTTACCAAGGAGGAAACTGAGGCCCAGAGGAGTTAATCTACTCAGGGTTACACAGCTAGAAGTGGCAACTCCACATCAACTGGCTCTAGAAGATGCATTCTCGCCAGTGCGCGTAGCTATGATAGCTCCAGTGTAGGGAAGGCGGGAGGAGGGAGGACACAGGAGTCACCTTCAGGATCTGGCCCTCACGGAAGGGGAGCTCTTCTTCCCCGGCATCAGGGTTAGGTGACATTGACACGGGGTCATAATCAAACAGAGCCACAAACACCCTGACAGGTAGGTCCGGGTAAGTCAGCACTCCTGGGGAGCTCCTCAGAGGGGCTGTGGAGAGGGTTCGGGAGAGAGAGAGAGAGCACAATGATAATAAGCTCTGGCCAAGGCATTAGGAAAGACCCCCCTCGCCCCTGCCTAGCCAAGCCCCCCATCAGGTGCTCACCCAACTCAGTGGTGCCTGGTCTGGGGGGCCGGCCCCCTTTCCGCTGGGGGCCCTTCCGCCCAGAGATGTCCTGCCCTCTAGGCTCCCCAACCTCTGTTGCCTGCAAAGAGAGGGCAACAGACAGTAGAAGTGTCACCCCATCCCCCTGGCAGGCACCTCAGCAGGGGCAGGACCCCACACGCACTCCCCAGCTCTTCCCCGTCAGCATAAGCAGCACAGCAGAGCAGGGACGCAACATTCCTCTCCTGGAGCCTTCCTTGGCCCAACCTTGCTGGAGACTTCGGACACACCCATGGAGGGACGCAGGGCAGGATGGGAGGCCCCAGCTCCAGCCACCCTAGATGTGTGCAGTAGAGGGGACTAAGGTGAGAGCTTAGAGTTGGCCAAGGAGCGTGTGAGAGGAGGGCCTCTTCTCAGCGTCAGAGTTGGGTGACGCTGGTCATCACAGTCAGTGTCCTAAGCAGAGGAAAGGGCCGCTCTGCCCAAAGGCAGGGGGCTGGCTGGCGGCAATTGGCGACTAATGATAACAGAATATTGTGCATCCCAGTTCCGGTCCGCAGAAGCAGCAAAGCAGTGGAATGTGGGTGGGAGGAGGCAGGTGAGGGGGCCCGGAGGCCCAGCCCCACCTCCGCTGATGGAGGCGGCAGCGTGGAATGGGAGTGGCTGGTGGGGAGCAAGCAGAGCCACCAGGCAGCAGCAGGTGGGGGGCTGCCCAGGGTGGGGGTGGGCACGGACCCGGGAGGCTGGCTCCTTGGCTCTGCCAGTCGCACTGCGGCCTCTCCGTTCTGGCTCCCCTGTCTCCCAGGCCGGGAGGCATGGGTAGGGGTTGGGGCCTGAATTGGCCTTCAGAGCCCCCTTGGGCCTTCCTATGGGTGCCGTGCCCCAGGCCTCCCCATCTCCGAGGTAGCAGGAGCTAGTTATGCTGATGCCCCCGCCGCCGCCTGCCTCCTGCTCGTCCTCAGAATCATATTCGATGCTGATTTCCAAGCACTTGGGGGAGAGGCAGCTGGCCAGGCCAGATTCTGGGGTCCGGCCACGTGGGCACCTCTGGGAGGGGACCAGGCGCCCTGTCCCACCAGCCTCTGGTCCACCCCTGGTGCCCTCACACACAGGGGGGCCGCCCCTCTCCCATGTGGGGCCTGGTCGTCCAGAGGCCTGGGGCCCGCCGTTACTGAGAAGGCGGCTGCAGTGTTCACGAAGATCTGGGGACCGTTTGCGGTTTGGGGGCATCTCGGTGGAGCCACTGCCTTTCCTCCAGCTGCTTCCACCACCTAGTCTGGCCATGTCCTCCGGGTGTTCCCTGGCACTGGAGGGCTCAGGAGACGAGGGACGTGGGCCAGGTCCTTGGGGTTGACTGCCATCACAGCCCAGCCCGGGCAACAAAGGCTCAGGCGGGCTGAGGTCTTGGGAAGATCCTGCCCCTGGCCTCTCCTCGTCGTCTTCGTCCTCCTCTTCCTCCTCCTCAGGGATGCTAAAGAGCTTCTTGCTGCAGAACTGCTGGAGGGGCAGCTCCAAGATCTGCTCCAAGATCTCCTCATCGCTGTCCGTCTCACAGAAGGGCTCAGGCTGGGGTTGGGGCTGGGGGTGGGACGGAGGAGGGCAGCAGGGAAGAGAGGTCCATGGGAAAAGGAGAGAGCTGTGATTTTTGCCCTCAAATGAGGGCAGGGGTTGTAAGCAGCCCTTTAGCCCTCCCTCGGCTTCCTCCAAGAGGAAGGACCAGAGAGGGGGCTGGCCCGAAGTCACACGGCATGTCCAGGGCAGAGGCAGAGGAAGAATGAGGGAACGTGCCCAAGGAACAGGCCGCACAGTGCTCGGGCCCCTGAGGGACAGGAGCAGGCTGTGCCTGTAATAGCAGAGGCCTCCCCACCCCTTTCCCAGTAGCTCCCAACACAAGGCTCTCAGATGGCCAGGGAGCTGCATCTGGTGGGCTGGAGTGGAAGAAGGGGCAGCAAAGAGCTCCGCATCCTCCCCTGTCTCTCTTCCCCCAGAGGGCGGAGGCCAATCCTGAGCCCCTTCCTAGCTGCTGCTTAGAACAGGGCCCAGGCCACACACCTAGAATGTTGCTGGCACTCGGTGGCGGCTGGAGCAGCTGCCGACACATGGGGTAGAGGCCCCTGGAACCCGAGGTCTAGGGCCCACCAGCCCCTCCTCACCCCAGTACCTTGATCCCGTTCTCCCTGATGCTGTGGCCAGCAACCTGCTTCTGGAAAGAGCAAGTCCTGGAACCCAGATCCTCCTCCTCCTCCTCTTCCTCTTCCTCCTCTTGGATGTCTGACAGATCTGAGTTGCGGCCGTGGTCCACCAGGGAGCCCACTGGACGGACCCCGAGCTCTGCCGTGTCCTTCTGCAGGAGAGGGGCAAGGGCCGTGAGAGGGGCAGGGTGGGGTGCACTCTGGCAGGGCCAGCCCCAGCCGGAATATAAGGGATCTCTTGGCAGAGGGAGAGAGGGTCATATCCCAAAGGGGGTTATGCACAATTGGGGGTTGTGGGGAAGGATGGGAGCCCAAAGAGAAAGAAATCAGGGAAGATGAGGTGACAAAGAAATCCAGGAGGCAGGCCCTGACTCTTTGAGGTGGCACAGTGTGTCTCCATTCTGTACCTCAGCCCTGGGCCTCAGCCCAGACCCCATGTCTCCTCCAAGGCAGGCCTCGGCACAGGGCACCTTCTGGGCCAGTGCTCCCTGGGTAGAGCAGGTTGCTGGGCTGGCCTCTCCCACGGTCCACTCGGCCTCCTCCTGGGCCAGTGAGGAAGCTGCAGGGCCAGGAGCTCTCTCGTTCACAGCTGGCTCGCTGGCCTTCCTAGCCTCTGAGGTGCCCAGCACAGCTGCCCCAGCCTCCTCCTGGAATGAGAGGCACTGAGGAAGGGCCCAAGTCCCAGGCCCTTCTCCCAGCCTCCACCTGCTCCCCCTCCTCAGCAGGGTACCTGGGAGCAATGTGCTGGGGGCTCCTCTTGGGTTCCTTTTGGTGTCTCTCTGGGAGGACTTGCTGGGGGACCCCCGGGGGGTTCTTGAGTTCTATGGGGCTCAGGGCGCCGGAGAGGGGAGTTGGGGTCTCCAGGCCCTGGGGTGGCTGGGGCAAGGGGTGGTCTGGCCTCCGAGCCTGGTCGTGGTGAGAGGCAGGAGACCCTGGCTGGCAGGCAGGCCGCAGCCAGGGCTGGGGCAACAGGAGCCGGAATGGAGTCGGCCGACTCGCCATGGGGCGACATGGTACGTACGGCCACCTCGCTGCACACCTGCAGCAGCTGCAGCTGGGACAACTCCACCAGCACGCTGCCTGCTGTGGGCGAGGTTACCTCCATGATCTGCAGGGTGGAGGGAGCACAGGATGGAAAAGGGAAGTTGAGATGGCCAAGTGTGAGGACACGACAATGACGGCTAGCATTATACCAGGCATTGTGCTAAGTAAGCCCTTGGCATGCCTTATCTCACTTAATCTTGCTGGCCACAGAGCTTCAGTGGTGGAGCAGTTTTTTTGTCTGTTTGGTTTTTTTTTTTTTTTTTTTAATCCCAATCAACTGCTACCAAAGCCCATGCTCTTGGCCGATCCACTACCTAGTGCCCAAATGCCAGGGGCTGGGCACCTCTGTGCCAGGATGGGGAGACTAGGCCGCTGAGCATGGCAGGGAGAGACCCCCTTTCTGCTCCCAGGATACAGGTGGACAGTCTCCAGGCCATACCTTCTGTCCATCTGCATAAATGGCATAGCCTGTGACCCGGACGCCGTTGGAGGTACCGGCAGCATCAATTGTTACTGGAAGCCAGCTGATGATCAAGATTCCAGGGGAGGGCCCCGGCTCAATCTGCACATCCAGGGGGGCATCAGGTGGGCCTGGGAGAAAGAGAGGCACAAGACCAGTAACGCAAGACACGCCGCTGGAGATACCAGACCACTTTGCTATTTCCCTGAAAATGCAAACAGTAATAGTCTCCCCTTCCGTCATCACCCATGGCCTGGCCTCCTGGGTGTCACTGACAGTCAACGCCCAAGCTCACATACCTGCTGGGAGTGTGGTGAACTGCAGGGTGGCAGCCCGATGCTCTGGCCTCTCCTGGCCTGGTTCCCAGGGCCTTCCAGGTGGGAGCTGAGCCTCCACTTGGGCCTGATAGAGTGTACCAGGGCGCAGGTGGCAGAAGGTGGCCCAGTAGGTGCCGGGGAGGGAAGGGGCACACTCTTCCCCATTGAGGTAGATGGCATGGGCCAAGTTGCTATTGCTGGGCACCCAGGTGATCTCAGCAGACGTGGCTGTCAGTCGATGGACCCGCAGCTGGCTAGGTACCACTCCGGCCCGGGTACCCACCGCCAAGCAACAGCGCAGAGGGTCAGAGCTGCCCCGGCTGGTCAGGGCCTGCACAGAAACATGGAGGGGCCCAGCCCGCAGGTCCAGGTTCTCAAGCACAGCCTTGGAGGGTGTCCCAGGTCCCAGGGCCTGACGCAGCTCCCCATTCACGCAGATATGATAGCCACGTAGCTCCACTCGCTCAGGAGGTGCCTCCCAAGCCAGCACCACGCTGTGGGCCAGCTGCTTGAGGATGGCCAGATGGCGGGGGTAAGGCACAGCAGGGGGCTCGCCCAGGCCCTCGGGTGGGGGGCTCAGACTGAGCTCATCCCCTGCAGCCTCCTCCTCCTCCGATCTGGGCTGGCTGCGTCCCCCGCTGCTCTGGCACCCACCACTGCTGCCACCCCCATCTCCGCTCAGGAAACTGAGTTCAGGGCCTGAACTGTGGGACAAATCGGCCAGCTCCGAATGGAGGGAGGTCAGGAGGTCGTCGTCGGACAGACGCTCTACAAAATTGGAAGGGACCAGGCCTCTTCGGCCATCCATGAGCTCTCCTGGCAGGTGGAGGGCAGGGAAGGGGAAGACAGAGAGGAGGTAGAGAAAAACCAGTCCAATAAATGCATTTTAGCAATGGTCAATGGGAGATGTTAAGCATTTGATCCAAATCAACGTTTACCTGTCAGTGCTTTTCAAAGACAAGAGTAGTCAAGATCTGGATTAGGTTTCTGTGATAACAGTATTGTGGTTATACAGGACAGAGCTTCTTGAATTTACTGTGCATATGAATCACCTGAAGGTTTGTGAAAATGCAGATTCTAATTCTGTTAGGCCTGGGTGGGGCTGAGATTCTGCATGTCTAACCAGTTCGCAGGTGCTGCTGATGCTGCAAGGATGTAGGCCAATGTCCATGCTCTGAGGAGGCGCCTGGTGAAATATGTCTAGGTAAAATGTCATAATGTCTACAACTTGATTTTCTTTTTTCACCTACATATGGATAAAGCAAATATGCAAAATGTGAACAATTGTTGACTGCAAGTGGTGCGTACATACGTATTCATTGTATTATTCTTTAATTTTTCTGTATGTCTCAAAAGTTCCATATTATACAGGCCTGAGGAGTGGAGGCAGGGTGGCCCTCAGCTTCCTTTTGAGGAAAAGGAAGAGGGACATCTTCAAAGGAAGAGGGGAGCACTACCTGGTCAGGGTGAGGAAAGGAATCTTTAGAGACAAGAGACATCAGTGCCAGAGAAAAGAGTGTCCTCTGGGTTCTAGTCGGAGGGGACCCACAACAGGCCTGGGTCTAGGAGCATGACTGGTGGTCAGTCCAGGCAGTGACCCAGGGTAAGTTCTCTTACTTTGTGCCAATTCCCCTGAACACCTGACAATAGAGTATTATAACATTTCTTGTTGTTTGTTTGAGGGATGTCAAGGAAGGAAGAAATTGGGCACATAGCATGTCATGTCAAGCTAATTTGGGAGAAGGAAAAAGATCCCCAGGGAACAGATGAGCTGGTGACTGCTGTGCCTTAGTGCAAGCAGGGAAAGCATAGATCTGGACTTAGGACAGAGGGTGCCTGCACGCAGGTCTCAGCTGCGGGAGGGCCTGTGAGTTTCCCCAACACTCTCGCTCTCTGCTTAGGTTAGGAGGAAAAAGAAAAAAAGGTAAGGAAACTTGAAGAAGAAACGGTAAGGACTTTCAATCAATCAGATAATATAAACATGATAGTGGGTTCAATGATGGCTTCCAAAAATATGTCCACGTCCTAATCCCTAGATTCTGTGAATGTGACCTTATTTGGAAAAAGCATCTTTGCTGATGTAATTAAGTTAGGGGCTTGAGAGGAGACCATCCCAGATTATCTGGGTGGGTCCTAAGTCCAATGACAGGTATCCTTATAAGAGATGCACAGAGAGAGAGACACTGAGAGAAGAGGAGACCCTGTGATTGACAGGTGCAGAGACTATAGTGATGTGGCCACAAGCCAAGGAGAACCTGGAACCACCAGAAGTTGAAAGGTACAAGGAACGGATTCTTCTCTAGAGCCTCCAGAGGGCATGTGGCCCTGCCAACACCTTAATCTCAGGCTTCTGGCCTTCAGAGATGTGAGAGAGCACATTTCTATTGTTTGAAGCCACCTGGTTGGTGGTAATTTGTTATGGCAGCCCTAGGAAATTAACATAAACACTTACACAAAGGACGGTGATGTTAAAGGTAGGAGTCTTCACGCTAAGCAGATCCACAGCCCTAAAAGGCTGAGGCTGGAACCTGGGCTGGAGTCAAGCACATGCCCTGTAGTCCGTGCCACTGAGGATGGTCCAGGTGGGACCAGACGTAAATGAAGCAGTCACTTAGCTAAAGTTTGATGAGGAATACGGCATCCTACACCCAGTTATCTATATGCCTTTAAATCTACCATAGATTGTATAGTTCAAATTCTAGTAATTTGTGGTTACTTAATATTTATGGTTTTGCTGTTCCCCTCCAAAAAAAGGTGCTGGCATTTTTAAATTTTTTTTTTATAAAAACAAAAATGTAGCCTGGTGCCCAGCCAGGGCCACCCTGGGGAGTGTCCCAAGGCCATTCTGTCTGCAAGCTTTGCCCCATCACCTAATCTTAGTAATGGGGCATCTGCCTCAGTTGCCTGATCTCCCCACAGGCACTTGAGAACTTCCCTGAAGCCCACGCCCTGAAGCCTGGGTCCTGACACCTGCTAACTACTTGACAACACCTTTTCCTGGCTCTGGACCCTGATTCCTCACACTCCCCACACTCAACTGGAGCTCCCCACACTCAACTGGAGTGTAGCATCAGATCTGTGTTACATGCCTAACCTCAGTGTCACTAGTGTTAACACTGCCGTACCCTGTCTGCCAGCACCAAAGTGAATATAGCCCAAATTCCGCGTGTCGCTGTGCATTATCTGGACTGTGGGAGGCCCTGTCCTGCCCTGCTTGGGTCAGACCTTCATACCAGCTGACCCCTTTTCCAGGCCCCTTCCTTCTCCTTTCCCCACAGGTTGCCAGGTCTCTGTTGCCTCTTGGCTGAGTCTGAAAATTCCGTTACAGTGGGCTGAGCATGCTGGGGAGAGGGTGTGGACGGGTGGAGCTCTTTGGGAAGAGGAGCTTCAAAACAGAGGAATGGACAAAATGACCCTGCTACCTTCCTACCTTCAAAAAAGCCATCCTCATCCATGTTGCCATAGATGTAGATGTACTCGCCCGCAGTAAGTGGGAGCTCTGCCTCTGGATTCTCATTGGGGCCCTCGAAGGGATTGTAGCTGTCGGAGGAAACGCAGAAGAGGAGGAGGACAGTGACCTACATCCTACTTCCGTGTCCCGCCTCCTCTCCCCTTTGTGGAGACTTGGTTGTCCACCATTAGCCAAGTGGGGCACTCACTGTGCTCACCTTGTCCCAACTGGGTTAAGAGGACAAGTCCAGCTGGGAATCCCGGTACCAACCCCACCATCTCCAGAGGCCTCCATCTTCTCCTGGCCCCTTCTTCTCAAACACCCCAAGTGCCGGGAGTGGGGGGAGGTTGGGGAGCAGGGGTGAGGGGCCCACCTATAGCGCGCTAGGAAGACCTGGATCCTGGCTTCTCCCCGGCTGCCCTCCGGCACTGCTGGGAGCAAGGAGATGGTGTCTGCCTCTAGTTCCTCCACCTCACTGGCTGTGTCCACCTGGGGGAAAACAGAAAGGCCAGTCCGCTCCAGGACCCAGGGCCAATGGCAAAGCAAGCAGGTTTCTAGGCTGAGCCAGAGGAAAACCCACTGCTCTGAGGAGGGAAAGTGAGCGCGTGCGACAAGGCCAGCAGCAACGAGCCCCACTGTTTTCTACATCAGTGCCTGAGTCAGGTCCTAGAAAAGCCCAGCTGCCCTGGATAGGGAGAGTGGGGATAACCTCCCCGAGCCCTGACGTCTACTGCACCAGCCCAGGAAATAAGACCACTTTCCCCATCGGAGAGGGGGCCAGCCACACTGGTATGGGGTGGGTGTCCAATGGCAGTTTGTCTCCTTAAGGTAAAAATGCGGCAAAGCACCAGAACTACAAAGAGCTGAAGGCAAGGAGGCAGAGGGGGCTAAGAAGTCCCTGAGAGAAGGGTACCCAGCAAGTCAGACAAGGCCAAACCTGCCCCACGACATCCAAAGCCAGCACCATCGTTCTGTCCCACAAGGGGGCAGCAGAGGCCCAGGGCTGGGTTCTACCACTTTCCATAGCCTTGGACGGTAGAGCTGCTCCTGACCTGCCCCTTCCACTTTCTGGAGTTTGGGAGGTACACAGAGGTAGGAGGTGATTGGAAGAGTTGTGAGCGATGCCCAAGAACTTGGTAATATTAATAGCTGCCATATATTAAGCATTTACTGTGTGCTCTGCACTACGAGAGGCACTTTCCTTATATTTTTTCATGGAGTCCTCACAACAAACTTACAAGGCAGGTTTTATTAGCTCCAAAATCCAGACAAGGAATCTGATGCCCAGAAAGGGTCTTGCCTAAGACAAAGCTTAGATCTGAATCCCAGAACCTCTGCTCTTTCTCATGCACCCATCACTTCTGCTACAGACACTCTCATGAACAGTCTCACTATGTGTATCCTGGCTCCAAATTGTCTCCCTCCATCCAGCCCAGGACTCTAGGGCTTCTCTGGGCCTCAGAGGGGTGGGGCTGAGTGGCCCCAAGATAGGCCGCGCAGGAGGGCACTGGAGAGCCAGATGGGCTCCACCTGAGCTCCCTGTCCCCCAGGAAGAATCCACGGGTCCTTCTCTCCCAGGGCCTGGCTCCACTTCCCAATGTGGGACCCTGCATAGGCCCGCGTCCACTCAAGTCCTGGGGATCCCAGAAGAAGTCAGGGCCACCTCCCCTCCCTTTACCCCAAGGCAGAGCGAGACCCCTGGCCCCTCCCCTGCACTGACCTCAGGCGTAGGACATGACTTAGGGCTATTGTGGATGGACTCAGAGCGAGAGGAGTTGGAGAGGGACTCTGCCTTCTTGGCCGTCCTTCGAGGGACCCCAGCAAGGGTGACAGGGGCAGGCTCAGAAGACTTTGGGGTGCAGCGCCCTGGGGAGCCTGGCGGGAGGTCAAGGTCTAAAGAGAAGATGGTACGTGAGTGTGGGACTGTGGCCTGAAGAGGGATCAGGGACCAAGGATGGAGACACTTGCATATGGAGATGGGGGTCAGGCTCTCCATAGCAGGGTTTCCTTAAAAACACTTAGGGGGAACTTACTAAGTGGAGGCAATTTACACATATCAGTTCACGTATCCTCAGAGCAGCCTGATGAAGTACACTGAGCTATTCCTTTCTGGCAGCTTAGGAAACCACAGAGGTTCCGCAGCAAGCTCAAAATCCCATAGACTATTAAGTGAGTGGAGGCAGGACCACCAGATCTGACTGACACCCAGCTCTGACTCTTCACAAGTCCATACTGCCAGCTGAGTCCCAGCGCCCAACTCCCAACCATGACTACAGGGAGGCAAGCAGGAGTGGCCTGAGACGCCTGGGCCAGACTCTGAGACAGCCACTCCAGGCCTGGCTCTCACTTGCTATGTGACTTTGGGTGAGTTGCGAGCCTTCTCTGACCCTTAACTCTCTGATCGTGGCCTGGGGGATTCCAGGCTAATGTTACCGGGGTTCCTTACCTTTGGGGCCAGAACCCCGGCAGGGCTGGGGAGTAGAGCAGCAGCAGGGAGGTGGCGGGCGGTCCCCAAGAGTACTGCAGCCCAGGGCTGAGGTGAGCAGATCTAAGGGGCCAGGGTGTAGGCGGAAGGCCTGGAGCTCCTGCGCCAAGAGGCTGAAGCGCTCTGTTTGGCTGCGGCACTGCTCCTCAAGCTCTCGAACCCGGACCTGAGCCAAGACCCACCATGAGCCCCAGGCCCGGCAAAGCTGCCCAATACCAGCCTGTGCCATCTCCACACAGGGCTTCAGACCACATTGTCCAGCCTTTGGCCTGGGCACCAGCTCTCGGCCTGACTGCCCCATTGCCCTTAGTGGTGTATGAGCTAAGGGTGTGGGAAATCTTCATCCCTAATCCTCCCTCAGAGAAGGGCTGGGGCCTGTCTCACATTCAGCACACCCTCTCGCCCCAGGCAGCGGTACTTCCTGCTTCTGGCTGCTTTCTAGGCCAAAAGGGATGGCTCCCACCCCCATCACTACCGCCAGTGTCACCTCAGGAGTTTTCTCAGCTCTGCTGCTTGTCACCTTCCCACAGTCAGTGACCCAAATCCCTGCCTTCAGAGAGGTCCCCAAAGAGAGCCCAATGGGGAGCTAGGGACATCTTTGTGACAGGAATGAGCCAATTCTCAAGACTTTTTCTCAGGTATCCAGAGTCCCAATATTTGGGGCTCTCCCTTGGCCAATATCAAGAGGATCACGGGTTAGACTAGTGATGAACTTCCTCACAGGCTGAGTGGCTCAGTCTTAGAGGAGGGAAGGCGCCATGTCTGCCAGGCTCAGTGGCAGGTATGGGGCAAGGAGATAGCCCACATGTCCTGTGGGAACCCCAGCATATCTCCAGATTCTCAGGTCTGCTCTCAGTCACACCCTGCTCTGTTGGACGTGAGAGTTGGGACCACATGGACCTGAGGGAGGGGATGTGGCTCAGCCCGCCTGGAGGGGGGTGAAGAAGGGGACATGCCCTGGAGGTGGGAGATCAGGAGGCTGTACCTGCATGGAATCCAGGGTAGACTGTGGCAGGAAAGGAAAGCACAGAGGAGAGGTTAGACCCCGAGCCCCGCGGGGCATTACCCAGAGAGGGAGGGAGACAGGGGCCCAAGTGGACACCCTCTGATCAGCTCCCTGGACTGATGGAGCAGTTCCTAAATGGAAGGATATTTCAATGTGAAGGCAGCCTCGGAGGGTGGGTGGCAATGGGAGACTGCAGCCACCAGACCCAGGAACCACTGCCCGGCTGTGCTGTAGCCTGAGAAGTAGGCCAATGGTGCAGGGGGTTCTCTAGGCCCTGAAGTATTTCAGGGCCCTTCCTGCAACCCCACATCCCACACACAGTCCACTCCAGGTCTCTCTGAACTCCCCCTGTCTCCCCCCAAGCTGGTGTTGCCGGTGGCCACCTCCAGGGACCTACCTCCAGCAGCTGTACAGCCCCTTCGTGTTCCCTCCTGGCTTCTGCCTGGGCCTACAGGTGGGAAAAGGCAAAAGCTGCAGGGAAAGGATGAGGAATGGGGATGGGAGAGAGGGAGATGGGAGGGAGGGTAGGAAAGGCAAAGGGGGAGAAGAAAGATGGTGGGGAGAGGCAGAAGGAAGGGACACTGGGAAAGTGGAGGCTGAGGGTTCCCCCATCCCAAACTCCTACCCCTGAACCATACCTTAGGCCAGAAGGTAATGGGGTCAAGGAGAGGCGAGCCTCATACTGTTCCTTCCCGGGATATCTACCCTCCGGTTTCCCTCCCACCTCTCCGGGTGCTCCTTCTCAGCCTCTGTCTCCTGCTCTCTGCCTTCTACTCCTTTTGAACGTTAGGGTGCTACTGGCCCCCCTTGATAGTCTTCACTCTCCCCCAAGGGGCCCCTCTAGTCACACTAAGGACTCCAAAACATATCTTCAAGACCAACTTGCCCATGACTCCAGGCTCTTAGATCCAACTGTCAATGGACATCTCTGCTTGTTTGTTTAACAAAAAATCCAAAGTTGGCCAAAACAGAATTCAGAACTCAGGACTTCCTACCTCTCAGATTTGTTGCCCCTTCATCCCTCACCTCCTGGGGAGTGAAAGCCCCACCCTCCATCAGGGTTTACTCAGCAAATAAGGGAAGAGTGGGGACTGTCATTCCATGACTGGAATCCATGGAGTCTTGTGGATTTTATCTCCAAAATATACTTCAAATCAGTCCACCTGTTTCCACCTGCACTGCTTGCACCCTAGTCCAGACGGCCATCACCTCCCACCTGGACCCCTGCAACAGGCCCAATACCTGATGGCCCAGCTTTCACGCCCACTCCCACAGTCCATCCACAGTGCTGCCAATGTTATCCTCTAAAATGATGAGTCGGATCATGCTACACCTTATTTGGGACCTTTCAATAGCTTCTAACCACTCAGAGAGCAAAATATCCAAACGACTTCCACAGCCTTTAAGGCCCAAGGTGATCTGTCTCTTGCCTGCTCCTGCTGTTCTGTCCATCCCACCACATTCTAGCCACACTGGTCTGGATCCCCAAGTTCTTTCCTGCCACAGGACATTTGCATTTCTAGTCCCCTACCTGGAGTGCTCTTCATCTGGCTTCTGCCCTTGAGGTATCAGAACCTTTCCTACTGCCCTCACTCTAAAATGGCCCTTCACCCCATCCCAGTCACTCTGTTACATCACCCTGTTTTCTTCCTCCATTGTGCTGAGATCATCTCATTCACAGACATGCTTCTTTGATGATTGGTCAGAGACCTGGTCTTTGCCTATCACTGTCCCCCAGCACCTGGCACACAGTGGGTGCTCAGTAAATGCTTGTCGGATGAGTGAATGACTAAGCTGAGGTCCAGCAACCTACCATCCTTCCCTCACTCCCGCCCCCAGGGAGACCCTGCCCCCACCTGCTGCAGCCTCCGGACCTCCTCCTGCTTCTCCTGCAGGCTGAGCCGAGCCTGCTCATGCTCCAGCTCCAGCTGCTGCCGCCGCTGGGCCACCTCCTGCATGTGCTGAAAAGCAAGACCGTGGGTGAAAGCCAGAACCCCAGTTCACCATTTCTGTAGACGATCTAAGGTGAGGGAGCCTCAGACACCATGTGTTCCAGATACCCTTAAAAAGGAAACTGAGGCTAGAGAAGGAAAGGCACTTGTGGTCCAGGACTCAGCCTCAGGCCTCAGCGCCCCACAAAGGGCATATTCTACTGTCCCACTTTCTCCCTGTGCCACAGACCAAGTACCCTCCCCCCACCTACGTAGTCCTCTCACCTTCAACACCTGCTCCAGGCTCTCCAGTTTGCTCTGCAGGCCCTGGCTCTTGCGAAGGGCCAAGTCCCTCTCCTGTGTCAACCCCAGGAGCTGGCCTCTCAGCTCTGCATTCTCCCACTCCACCTGGGGACGGGGCAGTGGCAGGGAGCTGGGTGTGTGAGCCTTGTCCCACCAGCTCCCTCACCAAGGGGAACAGTACCTTTCATACTCCAGCCCAGCTTGGGTTGGGGGGTGGAAAAGACAGCCCCTCACCAGGGACCAGGGCCTAGCAGGAGCCCAGGCCCCACACCCCCTGGGCAGAGAGGCTACCTGCTCCTTCTCAGTGACTCTCCCACTGAGCCGAGAGTTCTCCTCCACCAGGCGGGCATTCTCATTCTGGGCTTCTCTCAGCTGCAGTTCCTGAGAGACCAGAGGAGCTCTGCAGTGGGGGCCCAGCACCCACATTCCTCCCCTCCCCACCCCCCTCCCCACCCAGAGGACCCTGCCCTCCTGGACAAGGCCTTCCTCCCCCACCTGGAACCTGCATCAGCCAGGAAAGGCGAGCCCCACAGCACAGGTGAGAAAGTGTGTTCTTGAGGGTAAGAGGGATGAAAGCAGGGCTGACAGGGAACCCACCACCTGACTGGCCTGGGGGGGTGGGGGCGCTGGCCTCTGGGAGGGACTCCAGAGCTCACCAGCGCCTCACATCGCCTCTGCTTTTTTCGGGCTTCCTGCTCCAGGCTCTCACATTTCTTCCGCTTCTTACTAAGCTCTGACTCCTGTGGGGTCAAGAACAGAGGGCTCCGCATGTGAGAGGGCAGAGCTGCCCACAACACGTCTCCTCCAGCCCTTGACCTCTGCTGGGACTTACCAGCTGCTGCACCCTCTGTTGTTTCTCTGGCTCCCCTAGGACAACGGGTGGGTTTTCCACATCCTCTTGGGGTGTGGCCTGGAAATGCCCAGGAGCAGGGGGCTGGCACCTGAGAACAGGGCCCCCGGGGCAGTCTGCCCCCAGCCTCACCTGTCCATGGGAGGTTCCCACCCCATCTTACAGTCAGCAAAGAGATCTCTGCCCAAGAAGGGGCAGCTGATGTGAACGTGCAGAGGCGACACCTCTGCATCCTCCAGACATAGTGCTTTGAGATCCTGAGACCCATGTGTGCCCTGGGAGATGGGCCCTTATCCAGGCCAAAGCTTTCCCTTTTTAGCTTTTTCCAGCAGCAGCCCTGCTCTGTACTCAATAACTGTTCTGGTGTCCTTCAGTGACTGGCAGAAAACTAGGAGGCCGCCTGGGTCCCCAGGGGTGTAGTGTTCCCAGAGGTGAGGGCTCTGGACCATCCAAATCTGGGCTTGGCCTCGAGCAATGCAAAGCTGGCCAGACCCTCCTGTAGCTTTCCCCAAGCCCACCCTGTCACACTTCCTATTTATTTGTGCAAATCTGGAGGGAGGGCAGGTCTTGATGGGAAGTGCATCTCCCTCCCTGGGCCAGGCAGAGGGGCAAAATCTGAGCAAAAAGCACCCCACACCCTGAGGCTTTGGTTGATGTGGAGTCCCTTCTGCCACCCCTCTTCCCAGAAGGAGGTGGACCTTGCTGCTGCCCAAGAAGAGAGGATGGAGAGGAGCCAGATCTCTAAGTTCTGGGGGTCCGGAGTAGGGTCCCTAGCCCTCGCGACAGGAAGCTGTCTAAGCCCGGCGCCCAGTGAGGGTCGCCCATACCTGGAGCCCCCCGGTAGAGGGGGCCGGGCCTGGCAGACCAGCAAGGTGCTGAAGGGGGCGTCCCCGAGCTACGGCGGCTGCGGGAGGCGGCGGCGACTGCTGGGCCCAGGGCGGCTGCCAGGGCAACCAGGGATTTGCTGCCGGGCCGTACCACTGGCAGTGCGGCAGGGGCAATGGGGCGGGCCCCGCGAGGCGCCGACCTGCGTAGGGCAGACCCCGAACCCCCGGGAACAGGCACGGCGCAGGTACTAAAGCTAGGAGGCTGGGCGGGGACTCTGACCCTGGGGTCGGGAAAGCTCCCCAGTCCTTGGAGTTCGCACGCCACCACCCGGCCCTCCGGGCTCTGAGCGCCTTTCAGGGGGAGATCCTGGAGCCGCCCCCACCCCCATCTACACACACCCACACACCTGCCCTTGTGCGGGTGCTCACCTCTCGGGGGATCCCGGGGGCGGATGCCCCTGCTCTGACCCGGGCAGTGGGGCCTGAGGGCCCGGGTGGCGGGGGCGGGTCCTGCTGGTTGCGCAGGGCAATCTGCCGCTGCAGCCGCAGTACCTCCCGCTGGGACTCGCGCAGCAGCCGGTCGAAGTCCCGCATGTGGAGCCACTGGGGGCCCTCCTGGGTTGGGACAGGGAGGGGAATTTGGCCTAAACCCCTGTCCGCCCCACGTCGTCCCCTTGCTGGAGGGGCTCAATGCGCGGGAACGTGCATATCCTTCCATGCATACATGCCTGGTCACACGTGCGCAAGTGTACAGCCACATGCTTCCTCTAGCCCGTGTGCAGACATACACAGTAACATTTACTGGGCGCTCATGGTGTGCCCGGCACTGTGCTAAATACCTTGTGAACATCGCTTCACGCAGGTGTGAGGTATATGTGGATTCAAACAGCCAGACCCACTGGCATACCGCCTGAAGCTCAGAGCACAGACATTCCCTGGTCTGGGATTCATGGCTCCGCCCCATTCAGTTCAGTCTTCTCCCCGCTCCCACCTGGGCCGTTGCCAGGGGAACTACTCCCCAGCAGCCTCCACCTTCCCGCTTCATTTGCATCTCATTAACATCTCGGTCCACATCCCACAAGCCTGGCAGGTGGCCCTGTGTAGGGCTGAGCTGAATGGGGTGACCAGGACCTCCTCGCACCTTGCCCGCCAGGGTGAGCCTGGCCTGCAACTCCCTGCACTCCCGCTGCAAGGCAGCAATCTGCTTGTCCTTGGCCAACAGGGCGCTGGCTGTCTCACTGAGGTCCCGGGCTCGCTGGCGGGCCAGGGCCTTCTGGCACAACTCCAATCTGGCCCCTGGACGAGGCACGGCGGCACTCACCTGGCCAGAGGAGGGGTAAGGCCAATGGTCATCTGAGGGCCGGGGCACTTCTCCCACTCTTCAGCATCTCACAAAGGAGGGGTTAGGATACAAACCTAGAATTGTGGCCTCTTGCTTTTACCCTGTGTTTGGGGCATAAGAGGACCAACTGCCTCACTTGACTCCATCCCAGCCATCCTCAAGCAGGACTGTAATGGTTAACCTCACATCCTAGTTTAGGCCCAAAGGATGCTGCTAATTTCGGGCTGTCACTGTCATGGGTCTTCATCCCTGCCCCCACAGGCTCTGCACCCAGAGATGAGCTCAGCAGGAGGCTGTAGCCAGCGCCAGCACGTGGTAACCCAGAATCCTGTTCCCTGCCTGCTCAGGGACTCCTCACCCAGCCCTTCTCTCCCCCTTCTGTAGCTCCATTAATTCTCAGCCTCCTAGCCTGGTCAGCTTTTGCCCTTCCTACACTTTAGTCCCTGGGTTCCTGCTTTCTTGGGTGCTACGAGCCCATGTCTCCCAAACCCCACCACTCAGTCCTAGCCTTGGCTCCCCTCTTCCCGGGTCACACAGCCTTCATCCAGCAGCCTCCAGTCCTCACCACCTTCAGGTTAGTCTCCTGCAGCTTCTGGGCCCTCTCCTCCAGGCGCTTGGCAATGACCGCCAGCTCGGCATTCTTCCGCTTCAGCCTCCGCACCTTCTCCTCCGTCTCTGGGAAGCTGCTCTTCCTCTGACAAGAGGTTGGCCAGAATAGGGGCATGTGGGGAGCACCTGGCAGATGCAATCCCAACTGTCCAGTGTCTAGGCCTTGAGTGAGAGCCCTGGGCTCACAGTGGGGTCCTTGGCAACTCTAGGTAGGGTTTCACCCTCTCTGGGTCAGGGATCATGTCACCGCCAAGTGGCCCCCACATGGATGTACATGGGATGAGGAGGACACTGAGGCAGAGGGCCAGGGTATCTGAGTCTGCTTTCCCCCAGCTCCAACCAGGACCCAGGACTCGCTTTCCAAGCCTCACCAGCATCTGGTTTTCCTCCTTAAGGATGGCACAGCGCTGCTGCAGCTCCCCCAGGGCCCTCAGCAGCTCCAGATTGGGCTTGTCCCCGAAGCCCATGTTCAGCTTGCCCTGGCACAGGAAAGGACAGGGCATAGGGCTCAGGAACCCACCCTCCCTTGTCAGAGCCCTCCCTCCATGGGCCAAGAAAACATGGAGACAAGAAGGTTCTCCCCCTACGTCCCAGGCCTTCAGAATGGAGCATGGGAAGTCCAGGAGAAAGGGCTGTTTAGTCCTCCCTGCCCACACTGGCATCCCCGACCCTAGGACCCTCTCTGGTAGTCTCCAAGCTTTCCCATCCCTGTTCATCTCCTCCTGGGAAACGCCAGCTTGAGCTCCCATCCCCCAGGCTCCTCGTGGCCCCTGAGTCCCCTGCCCCAAAGTCCTGCTCCCTCCATCTTCTACAGGAGACTGCTCACGCCCACCTTCAACCTTGTGCTCCCTGGCTCAGCCCAGCACTGAGCCCCTGCCCCTGAATCTGCTTCCTCTGGACTCTGATTCCACTGTACATCTCTATATACCCCAGTATCCTCCAGCCCCCAAGGACAGAGACTTGCGGAGGAGGAGACACAGACAGACTGTCAAGAGAGAGACTAAAGAGGGAGGGGGTAGGGGCAGGGTCAGATGTAGACAGGCAGAGAGTCAGAAAGACAGACAGATGGCAAAAAATGGAGCCACTGAGATTCCTACCCAAAGAAGAGAGGACTGACAGTCACAGAGATGAAGCCACAGACAAGACAGGCCAGGACAGGAGAGGTGGGCAGTGGGGTTGCATATCATTCCCAGGCTGGGGAGCATGATGAGAGGTCCCCCACCTCGCAGACCCAGCCCTCCACAGCTCCCTTACCTTACGGAAAGCCTCTACCTCCTCATCCTCCAGCCTTGGGCAGCTGGGTCCTGAGCTTGCTGCTTGCTTCCCTGGGCTGGGCACCCCAGTTTCTGTTCCTTCAGGGTCAATGCCCTCCACAGGCCCTGGGCTCCGGGCTCCCTCGGGCTCGGAGTTCTCCAAAGGCCCTAATTCTCCAACCTGCAGAACTGCCGGAGTATCGGCAATGCTTGGGACCGAGCCTCCAGATTCGTCCCCCTGGCCTGGAGTCCAGCTCGGCCAGGCAGACTGTGCCCATGGCTCCATGGCTCTGGGGTTCCCCGGCTGCGGGAGGACTTTCAGTTGCTCCATGGTACTGCCAGAGGGCCCCAGGGCCCGGGCCGGGGGACATCACCCAGCCAAGTGAAGGGGCTGGCGAGGGTCATGCCAGGCCAGACCCTTTCCTCTCTGACCTCTTGGCTTCACCGGGGCTCCATCCAAGGTTGGCTGTGTTCTTCCTCACCCACAAAGGAGGCTGCAGGAGTCAGGGCTGCCGGAGCTAGAGCTGGGGGTATGTGAGCTGTATTTACTCGTGGCTGTGTGTGTGCAAGAGTGTGTGGAGGAGCGCGGATGTCCCCGTGGGGGCTGGGAGGATGTGCAGAGGCCACCAACAGCAGCTCCTGGGTGAGGGTGTGTGTGTGTTTCCAGGTCTGTGTGTGCAGGTCAGCACTGTCTTATGTGTGTGTTTGAAGGATGAGTGCCTCCACTTGTGTGTGTTGGGGTGGGGGGTAGTGGTTCTGTGTGTCACTGTCTGTGCCGGTTTCGGAGTTACCAGTTGTTTCTCTGTGTGTGTGTGTGTGTGTGTGTGTGTGTGTGTGTGTGTGTGTGTGTAGTTGGGGTGGGGGGGTCTGTACTGCAGGGCTGTGGCAGTCTGTGATGCTGTCACTGGTTGTATCTGAGCATCTGTGTTGTGCAGCTGTGTGTGCATTGGTGTCATTGTGTGTCCATCAGCGTCTGTGAATCTGCCCATCCATCACGACTCCTCAGCCTGGCTAGGGTCCGCAGGAGCTGCTGGGGGTGATCCCCAGTGGTCCACTGTGGTCCTTTATCTCCTGCTATTTTCTCCGCTGTTGCTCTCTAGCTTGCTAGCTTGCTGGGCGGCCGGGCTGGTCCTAAGGAGGCCTGGGTCGGTGGGCTGCTTGCCTCATAGTCTCTGTCCCTGCTGGCCTTACAGCCCAGGAACCCCGAGATGGTGGGCGCGGAGGAGGGCTGAGTCGCGGAATGGGTGGGGGGGGGGGTGAGCAGGAGAGAGCAAGCCCTCCCCTCCCCTCCCCCCTCCCCTTCAGCCCACCAATAGGAAGTCAGCTGCTGGTTTCCATGGTGATGGCGCTGGACTGGAGGGCTGGACCAGCAGGCAGGATCGGGACAGAGGGAAGAGCAGGTTCCTCAGGGGATCCCAGCCCAGTGCTCCCCACATGTGGCCTCCCACACACACCCCCATACCTTCCAGTGTACAGAGGCAAGTGGGCTGGAGATTGTTTTCGGCGCATCGGCCTCAGCCCAAGACAATAGAGACAGACAGGGGTGCTACGATAGATAGAGTTCCAGCCATGGGGAAGGGCAGGAGCGGAAAAGATTGGATTCAAGATGAAACAAAGAGAAACAGAAATCAAGAGAATGAAAATGGGAAGATAGAAGCAAAGAGACAGAGGTAGAAATAGGCTGAGAGAATTGCTTCTGTTTCTTACTGGCAGAGTGCCTTTTGGGGGCAATCTGGCCATCTTGGGCCAGCAGAGGAGACCACATGGTCTATTGGGCTGGCTTTGCCCCGCACTGTCAGGAAGTTCATCTTCTGTCTAGCTTTAGGCTTTTTTGCTATGGGAAAATGGCTTTTTGAGACAAGGACATGGGAACGCCCCCACCCACAAGTCGGCCAATGTGTGGGAACAGGAGCCTAGATGGAATCCTCAGAGACAGACAGGGTTGTTGGGAGAGATGCCTTAGGGAGGCAGCCACTGTCTCCTCTGAACCTGGGACTTAGCCCATCTACACACATGCCAGGCTCAGCCAAGGTCAGGAGCCCTCGTGTGGCACCCCAGGGATCAGCAGCCGCCATACGCCGTACTCAACCACAGAGCCCCTGACTAGGCCAGAGCTGCTGGAACTGTGGGTGGGGTGCATGGGGAGGTGGTGACATCCTCACTTCCCTAAAGCAGTGTGTAGATCAATATGTGCACCACTATATGATGTGTGTCGCTGATATTTATGTCAAGATATAAATACATGCCATTATGTGCATGCATATATATGGTAGGCATATATAGAATAGACATATCTTTATCTTTGTATATGTGTGTGGGGGCTATAGTATTATTTTATATATATATATATGTACATACATATGTATGTATGTATGTATGTATATGCTATAGGTGTCTACGAGTTTCGTTGGGTATATATGTATGCATGTCTCCATGTGTGTGTCATTGTACATATGTCTACTTGCCAGAGTGTCTGTATGCTGTTATGTTCATGTGAGGCTATGATTGTGTGAGTGTACAAATTATAGCACATATGTCATGATATATGTATATGGATGCCATTATATGATATTACATTATATAATAACACACTCTCATGTAGCTATGTAAATATGTGTAATGACATACAATGTCATGGTTTTATTTATATCTATATATCTAACTATATACAGAGGGTGCCAAAAAATGTATACACATTTTAAGAAAGGAAAACTGTATTAAAATTGTAATACTCAATATATACTGATAACAAAAGAGGAATATAAGTCATGTTTGACCTCTGCAATTACAAGAGGTCTCAAAGTGGTTACCATCAGCGTCCAGACACTTCTGATTATGGCGAACTACCGCTTGAGCAACGTTGACCAGTGTCCACTTGAATACATTTTTTTGGCACCCCCGGTATATCATCATGTATCTATTATATATTTATCGCCATGTATGAATGTGTCACTATATATGTGTGTGTTTGGAACCAATGTGTTTATTACGTGAATGTCACTATATGTGTATTTTTATGCTCTTCTTTTTGTGACACACACGTTTATATCATTGCATGTGTGTACAATACTGAATATGTATGTGTCCTGAGTGTGCGTATACCCATGTTACTGTGTGACATGCCAGTCATGTCACATGTGTATACATCACTACACATGTGTTGATAGCATATATGTTTGGGGCCCCTGTGTGGAAATGCATGCTGGGTGTGTGCTTTGTATATTAGTATCTGATGCTTTGTGTGTGTGTGCCAGTGTGTTTCTGCACAATTCTTACACTGCCCAGGACGCCTAGATGTTCTTAGATTAGAACTGGAGGTAAGCAGCCTTCCGTGTGGGAGTATGGAAAGCAAGTGGAGGGCAGAGCAGGGCCAGAGCTAGGGTAAAAGTTGGGAGGGCCCCTCATACGCTGCCCCTTCGTGCTCTGCCCCCTTTCCTTGGTTTGCAGGGAGGTCTCATCCAGGTCCCTTCTTACTCCACCTGGCTGGGCCCAGAGCCCTCTTCTGGTCTCATAAGCAGGCCAAACCCATTTCTCTCAGGAGAATGATAGTGATTCGCCCTCCCAGCCCTTCTGTGCACCCACCCGTCCATGTGTTGGTTAAGCTGGTTCACCCACACCCTCCGACCCGACCCCCAGCAACAGAGCCTCAGACAAAAGAAACGCAGAGTTCATTGTTTATTAGTGTTAGGGATCCAGGCACCATCCCTCATTCTTCTCCATCTACCCTCCTTTCGTGCCTCTTCCTCGTCCTGGTGTCTGTCCATTTGTGGCTGGAACCCCACTCCAGGGCCTGTCCACAGCTGCATCAGGCCCGGATGTCCAACCCTCCCAGACCCTGGGGCAGCAGAGGAGCTCATGGGGCATTTCCCTGGTTGGTCAGAACCAGGAGGACAGCACCGTGGGGGCAGTGGAGGTCTTTCAGGGGTCTGGGCAGGGTGGGGAAGGTGCCCGAGGGGCTCACCTGTCACACGTGGTCCTGAGGTATTGAGCGTGGAAGATGACGGTGGCGGGCGGCGGCGGTGGCGTGGTCTCCGAAGCCCACAGTACACTCATCCATAAAGTAGGAAACACTACACCCTCCAGTGCTGTTAGTAGTGCTTTCTACTTTATGGGTGACTGCACTGTCTGTCTGTCCGACTGTGAGGACTCTTCAGGCCGCCCGCTCTTCCTCCAGACTCCTGCTTCAAGAGCGCCTAGCCCTCCCCCGCCCGCCCTGTGTCTTTCTAAGACCCCACCACCCAGCCCCATGGCCCCCAGAGGGCCCGCCCTAGGCCTGTGGGTGGTGACTCAGCATGGCGCCAGACCTTGCCTCCTCTACCTCCCTCCCCCCACTTCCTCTTTGGTTCCCTCTTCCCTTCCCCCTAGGGCTCCACCCCACCCCCCCACTTTCAGGGACACTCAGGTAGAGACAAAGGCCACTCTGGAGGCTTCACCCCAATCCCAAGTTCTGACCCCCTGTGACCCCTCCCAGCCACATAACCCGCCATCCAGAGTCCAACTGAGGCAGCCACAGCTTCCTCCCTCCAAGTACTAGGCCCCCAGCCTCCTCACCAGCCCAAGGCCCTGACTCCTTCACTGCTCAGTGTTTCCCCAGGCAGGAGCTCAAGGCTATCGCAGCGGAAATGGTGGCCATGTCGGGTGGAGGGAGACATTTAGCGCCTCTCGCAGATACCAAGTCCCACTTTTCAGCCTCTGCCCACCTTCTGCCATTCCCACCTACTCTCCAGCCCTTGTCCTTTGAAGCCTTGGACCCCTCTCTCTTCATCCAGGGACCAGGGGCCATTTTACTTTCTTTGTCTAGAAGGAAGTCAAGGCCCAGGATTTCGAGGAGCTGTCCCACCATGAAGGCAGTAGATCTGACGGTTATTACACTTCTTTGCCTAGAGCTTTGCTAGTAAGCTTTGGCACCAAAGCTCCTGAAGCCCCTCCTCAAAGCATCTCCACCCAGGCAGGCCAAGCTTCTCATTGCCTATTGAACCCCAGAGTCAAGGAGCCCTGGTTGGGGCTGAAGTGAAAGTTTGGACCCTTACCTGATGCTGCACGGCTGAGGGGAGCAAGCCCTGTGCTCCAGGCTCTCAAGTGGGGTTCCCTTCAGAGCGGGCAGGGTTTATAACCCTGAGGTCATGTGGGCGAGATCTCAGGGCGCCCAACGGTCTTGGAGCCCGCCCCCACACCGCAGCGGAGATTAGTGCGCCCCTCCCCTCCCTGGGGAGGACAGACTGACAGGAAACCAGAGACAAGGCTGGGTATCGGCGGGAGGGGGGCTGAAGGGACCATCTCACACACCCAGGGCAGGTGGCTTCCGGGACCCCAGCCTTGCCCTTCCCCCATGGCACCAGCTCCAGAGGATGGTTCGAGTCTGGGACTGACTCAGGACACTGAGGGTGGACTCAGGACACTGAGGGTGAGCTCAGGAGACAACGGCCCCCTGTCAGGTGTTTCTGTGAGTGCCCAAAACACAGAGTCCTGAGTTCCAGCACAAGGAAAGGACTTCTTTTTCTAGTCCCACCCTCACTGACTCCAGCCCAGAAATGTCCCTTCCCTTCAGGACAGCAGTGGCATTCAGACCAAGCCGAGGCTCCTCTCTGTGTGCTTCCCAGAGAAGCTTCGGAGGTACAGGTGCGTGAAGGTGGGTCTGGGCCAGCACATCACAATGTCTTCCACATAATCAGTTGCCCTCAGTGTCCCACAAAACCACCCTTCTGCCAGCCCCAGCCTGTAGGAGACAAGACCTGCACCCTCAACACAGTGTTGGGGGCCACACTTGGGCTAAGTGTGCCTGTTGGCACTAGACTGGATGTTTGTGCTTCACTCAGGGCCTGTGGGGATAGGAGGGCAGGGCAGAGCAGTGGTGAGGACAAGGGTCTCAGGCAGGGCATGAGTGCCATTGACTTAGAGGAGTGGAGGGAAAAAGGCTCCGAAGGGAGGTTCTGGCTGTCACCGGATGTGGGCGCGGGGCCCGCCCACCTGCATGCCACCCCCGCTTTCCCCATGGGGAAGGCAGGAAGCTGCCTATCCTAGGGTCCCTGGCTGGGGGAGGAACAGGGTGTGGGGCTTGGTGGGGGCTGGGGGAGCTGAGTCTAGGCCACACATTTTCACCAAGTTTCCCTAAGCCTCTCAGTGGGCTTGGTTCTGGAACCAAGAGGGATAGATTGGGAGGGTGGGATAGAAGTGGACAAGAATTACCCAATGACTTCTTCCCAGAAGGCCATGGGCCTCTTCTCTGG